ATGTGCAGCAGCATCGTCCGCACCGACTCCATCACCGTCCTCATCTCCCGCTCCGCCATGCCTTTCTGCTGCGGGGTGTTTGGGCAAGTCAGGTCGTGGACGATCCCCTTGGCGTTCACAAAGTCGGTGAACAGCTTCGCGAGGAACTCCCCTCCTCGGTGTCAGTAGATCTGCACCATGGATGCCCGATTGATCCTGGAGAGGGTTACAGGCGTGTTCGCCTGGGGGGTTATGGGCGCACTGACCCGCTACTGAAACAAGCCCTTTTATCCCAATGGTCTAGTGATTGGGATTCTGACATGGTATCAGAGCGGTCTCGGGTTCAATTCCCAGTGTATGCACATGTAGGCCGTTGCCGCTGTGCTTAGTCCTGGGCCTCCCAGTGTGGGGGGGTGTCAGTAGATCTGCACCGTGGATGCCTGATTGATCCTGGAGAGGGTTACAGGCGCGTTCGCCTGGGGGGTTATGGGCGCACTGACCCGCTACTGAAACAAGCCCTTTTATCCCAATGGTCTAGTGGTTGGGATTCTGACACTCGGTTGGAGCGCAGCATCAACACCGACTTCTTTTTCTGCCGCTGCTGAAGCGACTGTCGATGGCACCGAGCACGTGGGCGACACTCAACGAGGACACCCTGACCTCGTACATCATGCAGGACGAGGCGATGTAGGAGGCCGAGCAGTCCCGTGAGCTCCTGGCGCAGGTGAACTACGTCGCCCCGGCGAAGCAAGGAGGTTGACCGGGGCAGCGCGGGCAGTCTGGCAGCGGTGGTAGCAGTGGCTGGAAGTTGGCCAAGGAAGTCGACAAGAAGAAGTTGGCCAAGGACGGCGGTCGAGGACGAGGAAGTCGACGTCGGGAGTGCTTGCTGTGCGGCGACCCCGACCACCTCTCCTTCGAGTGCCCCGACTGTAGCGACTCCGACGACGACGACGCCAAGGGAGGCCGCGGAAGTTCTGGCAGCTGTCGTCCTCGTCGAGGAGGAAACAAGCCGCGCAAGGAGAAGCAGACATCCACGTCGACCTCGGCGAAGGACGCCGACTCCTCTGCTGGCGGAAAGGGGCGGGACGACAAGACGACGTTATGCTCGCTGGTCGGCGTCGTGGAGCCGATCGTCTCGCTGGCGCGAATCTACTTTCGGCCGGGCAGCTGAAGGAGAACGGTGTGAAGCTACAAGAGGATGGCAACGGGATGTTACTTGTCTCGGCGGCGGGAGATGTCCTTGGTCGGGCGTCCTATACAGGGCGAGTCCTCTGCACCGACCTGCGTCCCTGCTCGGCGAGGTTGACAACGCCCCCGACGAAGGACATGGCCCTCCGGGCGATCCTCTCGGGGACGAAGTCGACCCCGGACAGGCTGCATGTGAGGCTTGCGCATGTTGGCATGGAAACCATACGGAGCTCGGCAAAGCACTTGGTCGCCATTGGGCTGGACCTCAAGCCGGCGTCGGGCGCCGGCTCGCCGTGTGTTGGCGGGAAGCTGGCACAGCACACCTTCCCCAACCAGGGGTCCGACGCCGATGACGTGCTGGCCGTCATGCGCATCGACCTGTGCGGGCCCTTCCGAGTGGCTGCCAAGGATGGCAGCCTGTACTTCTTGTTTCTGAAGGACCGCAAGACCCGCTACGTCTGGGTGAGGCCGATCGCCGGGAAGTCAGATGCATTGCAGGAGTTCGTGCAGTGGCTGGCGGTGGGTTGTAGCTGCTCGGGAGTCCCTGCATGACGAGGGTGACGTACGACGCTGTCGAGTACTGGGCGCCGGCCATCCTTATGGTGGCGAGAATTCGCGGAGCTCGGTTGCAGTAGTCGGTCACCGTCTCCTAGTCACCCATACGCAGGTGCGTCAGCTGCCCCTCTAGCTGGGCGATGAACAAATCGTTGGTGACTTGGTAGGTCGATTCGATGAAGTGCCACGCCCGGTGGCCGGTGTCGAGGTACTCCCTGCACCACTTCAAGGCGATCTGCACGTCTGGCGAGCAGCACCGCGAAATGACTGTGAAGGTCAGCAGTTGCATGGCGCGAAACTCCGCTCGCAAGTCGCGGTGGTGCTCCTCCGGCGTCGCCACGGTCCCTCAGGCGAAGCCGATCAGCTCGGCCATCTCCAGCTGGGGCTTGATGGCTTCCTTCCACGTGAGGATATCGGGTCAACCAACGAGCGGCGCGGTGACCAAGATCCTGTCTGGCCTAAACTTGAAGTAGCCGTAGCTTAGTGCAATCCCGCCTGCTATCACGTGGGTCGCCGACCTTGGCGACAATCCACTTCGACGACCTCCGACGTCGCCTTGCGAGAAGCCTGCAGCCGCCCAACGATTGCATCCCTCGTGCCAGAACGCCGCCGACCTCATCGGTGCGAATCAGACCTCGGTGTCTCGACGTGCCTCCCGCACTGCTACCGACTTGGCCACCACCGGCGTTGACGCCCACGTCGACGCCGCCCTCGGTATTCACCGTTCGAGTAGAGACAGGCCAAGAAGAGTGCTCCATCGCCCACACGGCACGGATGCCAGCCTCGACGACCGCCCAGGGCAGATCGCCATAGTCGTTTGCCTCATGACGTCTCCTCGTGTTCTCCAGCCGTGCCTCCAGGGTGTCCACCACCCCTGCGTCACCTACGGCGCCTACCATAGTGACTACCGTACAGCTACTGGCCTACAACACGCAATAGGTAACTGACCACTACGTTGACCTGACTGAAAGGTAAGTCGTGTGCCGTCCACGCTCACCGCACCATGCGGGGATAACTACTACAACGGGAGCTAGACTACGGGCTAGGCACGGGGCAAGAGTGATCGTAGCGTTCGCTTACTTAGTCGTTTCCACGTGCTCATATTACTTGCTCGTTCATGGGGAGAATTCGCAAGAGTTTCACTAGGAAAGGTTGACAAGGATGATACAATAAGGTTGGCAAGACAAGACTACATCCGAGCTAGCAAGCAAGCAGGTCGACTGCCAGCGCAGCACGGTCGACCGTGTTCCAGCACTACTTGGTCGACCGCACTCCAGCAGTGCAAAGTCGACGGCGTGCCAATGCTGCAAGTCGACGGCGTCCAGCATTGCTCCTGCATGACAGCAGCGCACCTACTTTGCAAGTGCTCGCAGGTGATTGGTGAGTCGTGCCTTGTCATCTGGGAAACGCACACACCAAATCAACCTCGTACTCACGAATGCATCTGATCAGCCATGTCGACCTCGGGATACCACCACCGAGGTCGGCCTCGCCACAAACACCTGGGCAACTGGCGCGTGCCTTCGCAGAACATCGTCACTTAGGTAACAAGGTCGACCGGGCAACCACGTCGACCAACTGCTCCTTCACGTGCCCGTCGACCACCAAGTCGACGACCACTTCCAGTCGACCTCACCAGGTCAACCACACCCTTGGTCGACCAGCTCCAGGTCGACCAGCACATCTGTCAGCCGACCACACCCAGTCGGCTACTCTAGGTCGGTGTCACCAAGTCAACGCCCTTTCTAAGTCGGCGCCGACTTCCAAGCCGACCTCTTGAAGTCGGTGATCTCCCAAGTCGGCGACATCGCAAGTCGGCGACCTTGCAAGTCGGCGACCTTGCAAGTCGGCGACCTCGCAAGTCGGCGACCTTGCAAGTCGGCGCCGACTTCTAGGTCGACGCGCCAAATCGCCGACCACCAGTTGAAGTCGGCTGTCGGCTTCCCAAATCGGCGGCATTACAGTGGCCCCATGCAAGTCGACCAAACCCGTTGACCAACTCGCCCAAGTCGGCGTTGCCCACTGCTGCAAGTCGGCTGCACCTCCCGTACACCCAACCACGAAGTCGGCTCCACCCAAGCGAGGATGGGCCCATCATCAACTCCCATTGGCACAGACATGTCGCTCGCGCACAAGCACATGCACGTGCCCCGCCGCCATGCCCCCTGCACAGCGAGGCGAAATAGGTTGGAGTTGGGGGCGGAGAAGGGGGCATGAAATGCAAGCATGATGCCACCCACCCAGATGCCAATCTCGCCCCACCTGGGGCTTGTCCCTCCCAATCATGTGCATGTGGTGCATGTGGTGCATGTGGTGCATGTGGTGCATGTGGTGGATGTGGTGTATGTGGTGTATGTGGTGTATGTGGTGTATGCGGTATATGTGGTATATGTGGTGTATGTGGTGTATGCGGTCCCTGCCAGCACATGTAAGCTTCCACCTTCCCATGTCATGAACAGCAGGGTTGTTGCCAGCAGAAGAGTTTCTGTCTGTGTTCTATAGATTGGAGAATGTATTGATATGGTACAAGGATTGTATTTGCAATATATGCAATACACTTTCGGCTATGCTTTAACGAGTAGGAAATAATGTTTCCGTCATCAAAGTATCAGGAGATCGTGGTGCAGCAGTAAACTTCAACGCGCCAGCCGCAGGAGTTGTGGCAACACCACAACGAGAGAAGCAATCCGCTGCCTTCTTCTGTGCGCCGGGAGGAACAGCTGATGCTGGGGGCAGTGTCGTTGTTGGTTGCCGTGCCGCTCCTGCTAGGTGCTGCCTGCCCTGAAGGCAGCAGGGCAATGGCGTTTGCAGGAATAGCTGAGGAAGAATGCTCACCCTAGGAATGTAGGGTGATGTGGGGGAGCGCATGGCAAAGGATGCCATGTGCTGAATACGAGTGAGAATGTGCTTAGCACTGGAGAGTCCAGAAATCACGAACTAGGACATTAGATGCAGATCCGAGCAAGGCAAATGATAGAGAACTTGGAAATGGGACAAGTTCTTTTCGCGCACCATGTGAAAAGTGAGCTCGGTGAGACACATCTTATTGGTGAAGTACAATCCATACAGCTGAACATCTTGATATGTCTACGAGAAACATTACTAGCAACGATTGGCCAAGTTATTATGGTCGGTGCTGGCATCACCTGAGTACTAAACTGCAATGTAAACCAGCAAGGACAACGGCTAGTTTCGCGCCTTGTATGAAAGTGGCCATTCACATCATTGAGCCACCCTGTTATTCGGAGATCCCGCGACGCCATCCGGGCTCGTGCGCGTTACGCCTTCCACGCGGCCTTGGCGCTCTGCGCCTTGCCAAGGGCGGACGCGAGCAGGCTCTTGTCGGCACCTCCGGCGGGGAGCATGATGCTCACACCGTTGATGGTGGCGATCGAGTTGTCGATCTGCCCCGCCACCAGCGTGCGCTGCCCAGTGCGAATCAGAATGGCGGCGTTGCGCAGCGCCGCCGCCGTGTCCGTGAGGCTCTTGACGTACGTCTTGACGGAGAGCTTCGCCTTGGCGCTGTCCACGTCCACCGCCGCCGCATCCAGCAGCGATACCACCTTCGAGTCCGACCCGCTCAGCTTCACTGCCGGCTTCCCCGCGCCGGGCGTGCCGGGCTTGCCGGAAGTGGCGGGCTTGCCAGGAGTGGCGGGGGTTGTGGGAGTGGGGGGAGTCTTCTTGCCGCCCTTCTTGTTGGGAGTGGTGGGAGTGGAAGGCGAGGGAGTGGGAGGAGACTTCTTAGACTTCTTGTCCTCCTTCTTCTTGTCCTCCTTCTTCTTGTCCTCCTTCTTCTTGTCCTTCTTCTTCTTGTCCTTGTCCTCGTCATCATCGTCGTCGTCGTCGTCGAGAATCCTCCTCGTCGCAGCGTCGTCGCTGAGAGAATTTGTGACGTCGAGCTGAGCCAGATCGCCGGACATGGCAGCGGCAAGCGCGGACGAGGCAGCCTCGGGGACGGCGAGCTCGGCGGAGGTGTTGAGGCAGAGCGACGCCAGGACGAGCGCCACCAGAGGCAGCGCACAGGCTAGCGCGGACATTCTCGAGTACGCCATGGCTATTCTTCGGAAGCAGGCAGACTATTCGATAAAAGGAACAGGAGCCGTTGAAGGGCTTGCTTAGTGAAGCTGGGTTGAGATACGATGAGGAATGGAGTTTATGGGCGGAATTTATGGAAAAGAGTTAGCGGGGGGCTGTGGTGGGAGGAGGTGGAGGCTGGGAAGGCATTTCTCAATTCTCGATTGAGATGGATTGTGCGGCTCGGAAATGTTGGAGGGCGACTCTGAGAGGGGGTTGTTCGCTTGCCGGCGAGGCTTGACGGATAGCACGTCGCACGCGACCAGGCATACCGTTCAGTGCGACGGGGATGGTTCGGTCGTCCAACTGTGGCGTGGTTCTCTCTGGGTGGTGCTGCTGTGGCAACGAAATAACGTTGGCGAAGAACTGGCGTGACGAAATCGTGGGCGATGAGCATGAGTGGGCTGGGCAGGCTGTGAAACTCGCGCGAACGACGACTTTCGTGGTGTTATTCAGCACCTCCGTGTCATCACGCTCACAAGGAATCGCACATCACCCTTCCATCGCACATCCCTAAAAATCGGATGTGTGGCGACGGGACTAGATGTATGCACACCCATTCCATGTTTGTTTGTATGCACCCCATGCTTCGGGACTAGCCCAAGCCTCGTAGCCAGCGTAGCACTAGCTAGCTCGCACGCACCGCGTTACCGTTTGCATGTTTCGCGTGTAAATGTTCGCTCATGCCTTCGCTCACATTTTGAATTCGTTTGACATCTTAGTGCAATCCTCGCTACCTCGATTCATTGCACCCGTAACACTCGGTATTTAGAGCCTCTTTCTTTTCGGAACGCGCATCTCCGCACCCCAGGAAATCAACTTTTGATTTTTCACTCGAAGGGACTCATGCACCTTAGCCCCTAGTGTCAGAACATTATAGCTTATGCTTTTGTGTAGGCTGTAGTGGGGTATCCCATAGGGGGTACAACCCAATTAGGGTTGGTACTTGTACCCACTTCATTCATAGTTCATTCATCCTCGTTTTAGTTTTCTCATGGTATCGAGCAGGTTCCCTCGTGGGAACTGTTCCTAGGGCCCTACTACTCCTTCCGCTGCTACTCGATTTTCTTTCAGGGCGCGCCCTGAGGCGCGCGGCCCCGCTACCCCGTCGCGCCGCCCTAGCGGCCGCGTCGCGTCGCCCTCGCGGCCCCGATCTGCCGCCCTTGTGGCCTTGTCACCTACCTCTGCGGCCTCAGGGCCGCCCTTCCCGGCCCCGGCTCCGCCCTTCCCGGCCCCGGCGCCACCTCGGCTGGCCCCGTCGCCTACCCCGGCGACCCCGACGCCGCCCTTCCCGACCCGGCCCCGTCTCTGCTGGCCCCGTCGCCTGCCCCTGCGGCCCCGGCTCCGCCCTTCCAGGCCCCGGCGCCACCTCGGCTGGCCCCGTCGCCTACCCCGACGACCCCAACGCCGCTCTTCCTGACCCGGCCCCGCCTCTACTGGCCCCGTCGCCTACCCCTGCGGCCTCGGCGCTGCCCTTCCCGGCCCCGGCGCCAACTCTGCTGGCCCCGGCGCCGCCTCTGCTGGCCCGGAGGCCTACCCTGCGGCCCCAGCGCCACCTCTACTGGCCCCGTCGCCGCTCAACCCGGCCCCGCCGCCGTCCCCAAGCGGCCCCGCCGTCACCACCGAGCCGCCGGCGCCGCCGAGCTAGTGCCGAGCCACCCGAGCCACCCGAGCGAACGCATCGACCACTACATCGTCGGCCTGAAGCACGTCATCGATCAGGAAATCCAGCTTCGCGGCGTCACCGATTTCCAGGAGATTATCGCCATGGCGGAGAAGCTTGATTTCTTCCTTTGACCGAGACTGGGGTCCTATGGATGCAGCAACTGGGGACATCGGTCTCGTGGGACATATGAGTGCGCTACGATACGAGCCGTCGCCGCGAATGCCGCTCCCGCACCATTCAAAGGGCGTTGCTTTGCGTGCAATCGGCTGGGACACCGTACGACCGAATGCCCGGAAAACGCTTAGAAAAAGGGGGAAGCTGAGCAGCAGAAACAGACCAAGCAGCAGGGAAACACTGGAAGTCAATAGCAGACGGGCCCTCTACTAATAGGTCACGCCGCTCGCCCGACCCAACCGACCCTCACCGAGTGATTGTGCCGGTTCACGCAATCGACCACACCCGGCCGAATAAAGAGGGTACTGTGAAACAAGGAAAACGGGAATGAAAATGACTATGGAAGATTGGGTACAAATACAACCCTAGAAACCCTGTACCCCATATGTGCTACCCCACTAAAGCCTACAGAAACTATGTCATATAAATCTGACACACCCCCATAGGCAAAGTGGGGGAGAACAAGGGGTCACAAGACCAGTCAGGTAAAGCAAAGCAGAGCAAGCTCAGGGTGGATCACAACGTCACCACACAGTCCGAGCACAAGAGCAGGGCCAGAGGCCAGTTCACATGCAGGAGTACAGACACATATATATATAGAACTAAACAAGCAAGAGCAGGTATAAATATATGTAACAGTACAAGTGAAGTCAAGAGGAGAGCAAGTGAGGCAAGACAGGCACAAGACCCAGCTGGGTGCAAAAGCGCTGATGGTCACAAGGCGCGAGTGCCTTGGTGAACACATCAGCAGTGTTGGCCTCAGACGCCAGGTACGTAAGTCGCAACTGACCACGCTGCTGCAGCTCACGAGCAAGGAAGTAGCGGAGAGCAATGTGCTTCGTTCTGTGCTCCAAGCGCTGCTCTCGACACAAGGCCAGCATGGCCTTGTTGTCTACGTACAGCACTGGAGGAGAACGAGGCGGCTCTCCAAGGTCAGTCAGCAGGTAGGTGAGCCAGCGAAGCTCCTGTGCAGCCATGGCCCCGGCGTAGATCTCAGCCTCACAACTGGAGCCGAGAACCGAAGACGAGCGAGTAGACCGCCACGAGACAGAGCCGGAACCAAGGCTGAAGGTGTAACCCTGTGACGACCGCTGCGTAGCCTGGTCGTCAGCCCAAGAAGCGTCCGCGTGGCCGGTAAGGACCACTGGACTCCGCCCTCCAAGCACTAGCCCCATGCCCGACGTGCTGCACAGGTAGCGCAATACCCTCTTCGCTGCAGCCATGTGCTCTGGTCTGTGTCTCCCAGGAGCAACATAGCGAGCAAGAATGCTCAGAGGGTATGCAAGGTCAGGTCGTGTGCAGGTCATCAGGTACATGAGGCAGCCAACAAGCTCTGCATACGGGCCACTCGACTCTACGGACTCATCCGAAGGCAGAGCTGAGAGTGAGTGGCGAGTAGGCAGAGGAGTGGCCTGAGGCGAGGAGTACGTGAAGCCGAAGCGCTGAAGGACCTGCTGCACCATGTGTGACTGAGTCAAGGTAATGGTGCGGCGTGCTCTGTCCCGAGTGATCTGCAAGCCAAGGTAGCTGCGCAGTTCACCCAGGTCTGTGCACGTGTGTCTCTTCAGCAGCTCGGACTTCACGTAGGCGAGTCCAGCATTGTCCGCTGTGGCAAAGACCAAGTCGTCGACGTACACGAGGATGTAGAACGGCGGCAGGGAAGTGTCGGTGCGAAGAAACAGCGACGGGTCAGCAGTAGAAGGAGCAAACCCAAGAGCCGCAAGCGTAGTCCTCAGTGTGTCGTGCCACTCACGCGGTGCCTGACGGAGACCGTAGACTGGCCGTCGGAGGCTCCACTGGGTGCCAGGAGGGAAAGTCCCAGTGAAGCCAGGTGGACGGCGAAGCCAGATCTCCTCGTGCAGGCTACCCTGCAAGAACGCAGTGCTGAAGTCGAGAGAGTGAAGCTCGTAGTCGCGCTGAGCGGCTATGTGCAGCAGCACCCGAAGAGTAGTCATCTTCGGGGTGGGAGAGAAGGTCTGAAAGTAGTCAACTCCCTGCCGCTGACTGAAGCCACGAGCAACGTACCGTGCATTGAAGACAGGTGGAGAGCCCGGCGGCCGCTTCACCCTGAAGATCCACATGCCACTGACGATGTTCGCCCCAGGAGGGGGAACCGCATCAACGTAGGTGCCTGTGGACTTCCAGGAAGCCATCTCTGCATCCATAGCTGCCTGCCACTGAGAGGAGTAGGGACCCTCTACGGCCTCCGCGTAAGAACGCGGAGTCGGGATGTCTAGTGCATCCGGGTCTCCCTCAGGGGCAAGCAGTACAGACGCGAGATGAGGTGAAGCAGCCGCTAGACACTGTAACTCCTCCTGCCTGTCCTCTAGGACGTCCGTGCCAAGAGCACACTCACCCCCGACGGACGGAGGACAGACAGACGCAGACTCAGCAACAAGACTAGCAGCGTAGTCGAGACGACAGCGAGCAGCAAAGTCGACGAGCTCAGCGACTAGAGCAGACGCAGCAGTGGACTCAAAAGAGGGGTCAGTGACGACAGTAGCAAGCAGACGCGTGACAGTAGGACTGGCAACACGAAGAGAGTCCGACTCAGGGTCGGCAAGCGCAGGAAGAGAGGACTCAGGAGGAGAAGGCAAAGGGGCACGCAGAGGAGCAGTGGACGGACGCAAAGACATCCGGTGCGTGCCAGGGACTGGAGGAGGACGCTGACGCGAACTGCGACCACTAGCGCGAGCAGCACGAACAGGCGACGCGGGACGAGACGCAGGCTCACGACGCTCAGCAAGACCCCCAGTAGGACCAGTGTAAGGAGAGGGAGCAGGCAGTGGAGAGGAAGGCTCCAGCAGGGACTGCGACTGGACAGGCGGTGGACCCTCTATTGGAGGAGAAAGACCAAGAACCTGCTGCAGGAGCGGAACGAAGTACGGCCGAGGCCGCGCGGCAGCTCCAGACTCAGCAGGGACAGCACCAGCACCCTCAGCGACAGCACCAGCGCCACCCACACCTCCAGCGGCAGGTCCAACAGCAGTAGGCTCAGCACCAACGCCCTCAGCAGCTCCAGCTCCAGGAGGACCAGTAGGTCTAGTTGCTCCGGGACCGGCAGCACCCGCACCCTCGACGGTCGAAGAAGCTCCAGCTCCAGCTCCAGCAGCACCTCCAGACTCAGCAGCACGCCTC